TATAGAAACTTATCTCAAAAAATACTAAAACTTATCTATGATTAATTTTGTTTATGTTGAAAATAAAATGCTTTTCTTAAAGTATTAAAACCTAAACATTTGTAATCAATAAAGAGACTTTGTTTGAACAGGTTCTGTTCATTCGATTCGACTGAACCTTTTTTAGTTCGATAATATTTTCTTTTTAAGTAATCAAGCATATTAAAGCAAAAGGGCCGTATACTATGCAATCACGAATCGATGGCTCCATGGTCGGTCCAGTGTACAAACTCGCTATCACCACCCTTCGTCCTTCGTGAAGGTTTGGGATAGGATGCAATTATTTTCAGTTCTAAAGGAACATCCAAAACATTTCAAAGATATTTACATTTCTACAGCCTTCTACAATCATATTTCAGCAGAAGTAGCGAATCATATGAATGGGCGGTTACCAGTCATATTGAAGAAAAAGTAACCAATAATATTGCAGAAGTGCATACAACACAGTTTTAGTTTCTATAAAATTTGAAATTTAAATTGTTACTTTCCGAAGTTTACTTGGACGTGAAAAAAAAGTTCATTCTTTGTTCACAGAAAACTTCAGAAGAATGGAATCATGTTTTTTATGTTTGTGCTGGCTTAGCAACTCTTGGGGCGGTAGTGTTTTTGTGTCTATCAGATGGAGAGCTCCAAGACTGGGCGACAGAGAGTGACGGGAAGTCAAATTCTGTACAGTACTCTTTCATTCAGGACCAAGAAACTCAAGCACAGTCCAAACAAAAAGAGGCTGATGAGACTTTATAGTTCAAAGAAACTTCTAGGACCCACGTGATATGTGTGACATTGTAACTTCACCATTTATTCTCTAATGTTCTTATGCATATTGAGCTTTTCACGACTTTATATCTCAAATACTAAGCTTGTAAATGTATATATTTTTAAGAAAAGGTCGTTACACAACGTGGACTAATCTTTGAAGAATTTGCGCAAAAAATTGACCTTTGACTCTCCGCTTTTCCAGATCTTACTATTGGTTGTTTTTATTCGTGTAATACATTTAAAATAAAAAGTCCTTAAAATAATAGCTTTAAAAAAATATATATTTAAAAAATATTATTTTTATAAAAATGAATACTAGAATATCTTTTAAAAAGTGGATATTTTGGTTAACACTAAATAACTTGCTAAGCCAAGTAACGCTATTGGACTTCTCCAAGAGAGAATATATTGGAATAAATCGTTGCAGCAGCCTTAAAAAAAATCAGTTTTCACAGCAGTGGTTCTCATCACACTTTTGCATGGTTCTGAGACCTGGGTGAACTATAGAAGGCATCTAAGGCAACTCGAATGCTTCAATCAAAGTCGCCTCCGCTCCACAATGGACATACGCTTTCAGGGCTACATTACAAATAACCGTGTTCTGCTGTAGGCTGATGTGGACGAGTTGTAATGGTCCCCTCAAGGGTGCGGTGGCACATTATAGACATAAAGAAGACCCTCCGGCCTCGCATGGGAGGGGAACCCATGTCGTTGGCTCAAGGGACCGTGTCCTACGACCAAACGGGTGTAAATAAATGATCATCTAGTCGCTGGGGGACTCCAGAAAGAGAGGTTGGTGAAGAGCCGATTTCTCATCCTGGCCACGGGATAAAATCCTTTCCCGGGTCACATATTCATAAAAGGGACCGGAAGTCTCGAGCCATTCTTGGACATCAGAAACGGTGTGGACAGCATAGAAGCACAACTTATTCGACAGCTAGGCTGGGTTGGACACTTATACCGTATAAGAGAGGACAAAATGCCAAAGGCGATCTTTCTGGGAGAGCCTAAAAAAGGATGCCTGAATAAGCGTTATTAAGATCAACAAAGGCGCCTTTTCCCCATCACTGGAATAGAGGAAAGTAGCTGACTGCAGATGACCTCTGAAAGAGACAGTTGGAGAGTTATCACGTCAACTGCGGACAGCTACTTTCCTCATTTCCTTCCACATTTGAGGCCCAGAGAAAAGTCCTTGCAGAGGACAGGCACAGAAGACATAAAGAAAAGTTCAATAGACCCTATTGCCATTATTATTAGTAGTAAATAACAGTAAAACTCACAACTTTGAATATCGTGCAATTATATATATATATATATATATATATATATATATATATATATTGACAACTGAGTGTAGGTTTATTTTCACTGCAGTAAAGATTGTGTCAAATGGTTGGTAAAAAAAGGAAAAAGGCTATAATACAATTGCTATTTTGTTTTAAAACAAAACAATTCAAAGGCCACTTGCAGTACCACATGTGTAACAGATCACGCGCTCCTACGTTCACTATCATGGTTTAAGTATTTGGTTAGTACATTGTATGCTTTATTATATTTCTTTTCTTTTATAATTTTTTTATGTGTACGTTTAAATCTGTACGTATTAACCAGAGACATGTTTGGTGTCCCAATATCAACACATTACGACACATGGGCAAAGGTGTAAGGCATGCGTTTATTTCAATGTCTTTTTATTCCAAAGCTTATTATCAACTCACACGTGAGTCTGTGTCTGTCTGGTAGACATTCTGAACACATGAGTCTGTGTCTGTCTGGTAGACATTTTGAACACATGAGTCTGTGTCTGTCTGGTAGACATTTTGAACACATGAGTCTGTGTCTGTCTGGTAGACATTTTGAACACATGAGTCTGTGTCTGTCTGGTAGACATTTTGAACACATGAGTCTGTGTCTGTCTGGTAGACATTCTGAACACATGAGTCTGTGTCTGTCTGGTAGACATTTTGAACACATGAGTCTGTGTCTGTCTGGTAGACATTCTGAACACATGAGTCTGTGTCTGTCTGGTAGACATTCTGAACACATGAGTCTGTGTCTGTCTGGTAGACATTCTGAACACATGAGTCTGTGTCTGTCTGGTAGACATTTTGAACACATGAGTCTGTGTCTGTCTGGTAGACATTCTGAACACATGAGTCTGTGTCTGTCTGGTAGACATTTTGAACACATGAGTCTGTGTCTGTCTGGTAGACATTTTGAACACATGAGTCTGTGTCTGTCTGGTAGACATTCTGAACACATGAGTCTGTGTCTGTCTGGTAGACATTTTGAACACATGAGTCTGTGTCTGTCTGGTAGACATTTTGAACACATGATTGAAACTATTTTCTTCCACTTCCCATACTCCCGATATGTCAATAATTTTAGAGTAACAATGCCAGTTACAAGCTACCGTTTCTCCCTACTACAGATGCAGACGACATGAACTCACATCTTTGTTAATTTGCAGGCTTAACTGCCCGCTCTCTTTTTGCTATTTTGTGTGTGTGTGTGTTTAATTTCGTCAATAATTCTCGGATTTTCGGTAGTCACTAAAGGTGAAGGAAGTTCAAGGAACCAAACTCTGTAGAATACCGTGGGGAAAAAATATATCAGTTTATCTCCTTTATAATAATAGCTTTTAACTTTGTCAATAATTCGCGTATTTTACTAAAAGAGAAGTAAACTTCTGGAGAATAGCGTGGGAATACTGTACCGTATATCCGTTTATCTCCCTTGTCATCCGACTGAACAAAACTTTTTCTTCTTTTTTAAAGTCTTATCTTATAAAATACAGACGTTACTTCATTAAAAAAAAAGATGATTACGTCCTAAGCGTGTTCCTAGATCGATCTAGCCATGTTAATTACTAATTCTGCCAATTCATTGGTTTTCCTGGCTTACTAACGAGGAGTTACTTGGCACTCCCAAATTATTAAGAATATCGTTATCAAATCCAAATGTACAATACTCACAGCTGGGAGAAAGTTTCCCAGGCTGCCTTTAGACGTACAGCAAACACAAGTCTGCTCAAGTGAAGTCTGAAACTCGAGCAATTTTGTCTCTCAGCGACATATTCCCATTGACGATGATGTGTGTAGGAATAAGCACTATACCTTTTAACCAATACGCGGACGTTATAAAGCATCATGTTGTAGACTTCTTAGTATACAGACAGACTCAGACAAACTTTTAAATTTTAAGAGTGGAAAAAGATTGTACAGGTATGCCGTAGTGGCAGCATTTGGTGCAATGGTTTGTCTCTTTCTATCAGACAACGAACTCCAGAAGTGAGAGAAGTAGAGGAGGGGGGTAGAAAAGAACGTGTTGACGGAACTGACCATGTGACCATGCTGCCCAAACAGAACCGTATCGTGAAGAGAACGAGATTGATACATTTTATTTCAGGCTGAGGCAAAGTTTAGTTAGAATTTAGAATCACTTTATTCCTAGATCTGATTGAAGCAAAGATTAATTTATTCCTAGTTCTGGCTCAGGCAAAGATTTTTATTTCTTACTTTTGACTAATACAAAGGTATTATCATTAATACAATTTAAAAGTGTCAGGTGAGATTTTTAAGATTGTACATTATTTTGATACACAACATGGACCGCTGTCCTTTTTTATTTATTTTTTTACAAAAGTTTACACCTTTTTAAAATCATGTGACATTAAAATGTGATTCATTATATCACGTATTAGTGATTATTGGAAAATACAATGGCATGATTGATATATAGCCATGTAACATACGAAGGAAAATTGTAATCAAGTATAAATATGAAAAATACAATACGTTTTTTATATTGTGCGTCCAACGCTGTTAATAACAGTACGACCTGTAGGTCACTTCTAATTGAATTTTTATTATTTAGAAAAAAATATTTGTCTATCTTTTGATGGGTCTACTGGCTTAATAAAACAATAAAAACAAAGAAATCATTGATTTACTTTTTAATTTCATCATACCAATTTGGAATGAACAAATACTGCATGAAAACAAAAGAAGTCACCAACATTAGAATGTCGTGTAAATCTAAGATGGACGGATGTTTATTTATTCTATATTATGATGTTTAGATGATCACAACAAATGCAGAATAACGACTTGTCAGCCTTCGGTTCGCTTCCGCCAATCACAAAGTCTAGGTCTACCACTACGTCGAGTAATCAGACGTTCACCTGACCCTACTGACCTACTTTTCGGGCATCCCAGACGTACAGCACCATCAACCTACTACCCAGTGTTGACATGCAAGACGAAGGACGCCTCTTTTCCAGAATCCATAGCTCTGTAATTCGTTTTTTTACCTTGACAGCAAATTCTTGTCCAGTTTTGAATGGTGCGAAATATAGCTTGTTCCACGTCGTACAGACCTGTGACGAGGCAACGAGCTATTGGTCTCCACTGCCCACAGGTTGTGACGTCGCAGGTCAGTGTTAAGGTCTTCTATAACGAAGTGTCTCCCTTGAATAATAGAAGTACTGTACAAATCTTGGTTTTGAGTCCAATGGTTAAAGAAGAGAACATCGTTCCACGAGGCTACGAAGACCAGGTCACCTACATATTTCTGCCCATATCTAATGCAGACAATACAGCCGGGGCCGATTAAAGATATCTATACGCAATCTACGCCCCAGATGTGGACCTTTAAATCATGACTGACAATTTTTTGTTGAGCTGATGAGTACTTCAACACAAAGTATCGTCGAAACAATTTACGTATCCTGCAGAACTTGATGCATTAATTAGTGTTGCTGTTGTTGTTGGTATTTGCTGGATGGTACTTTTGATACCGTTTCTTGTAGACAGCGAACAACATAATTGCAACAACAACAACAACAACAGAGCATGCTATTGCTATACCAATTTTTGCATTAGTAGATAGCAAATCCGCAGACGCTTTCATTGATTGGCATATGGGACATTCATTGCACAAAATTTTTGATTCACTTTCAGTGGAACACTTTGTGAAGTTCAACTCATGACAATGTTCTAGGACTATTTCCTCACACGTATTATAAGCATTGACTAGATCTAGAGTTTGTTGATTAGGAGAAGTAGTGGCTAATGTATGGTGCTCTTCAGATGCAGATCGTACTGTTACTGTTGTCTGATTGACACAACATTCAGAAATGTATTTTGTTTGACAAGATGGACAGGGGCGGCAGCCATATTCTGTAGTCTTGTGTCAGGATAAAATCCACTCTCGCAACGCTTAATAAATGTGTCATGCTCACGAGTGCAGGGAGAAGTTTCCTCGACATGTTCCCAAGGTTCGAACTGTTTGCACTTTTCGCAGTATTCGAAGGTGTGCCGCTCCGAGTCTATAAACGTATCCTCTGCACACAGGTCACAGAAGGGTGTCCCATATAAGGGTATGCGGTTTACAAACGTCCCTTTACCACAGTAAAAGCTTCCTTCTTCAGGAACAACTGGGCTAGCTGTACAACTACACTTCAAGGATGTCATTATGAGCAAAGACATGAAAAATTTTGATTTGTGACATGCTGTCATTATTCTGAAATAAGAAATATAACATAAATAAGCATAAACCTTATTCAAACACAAAATAAATAAAAAATCAGAAAACACAAAGAGTAAAGAAGGAACACAAACACAATAAAAAAAAACAGAGACAGTAACACAAACAGAAACACATCTATTGTTAGTGTCAAACTTTTATCTCTATAAAGGGGACTAATTAACATATACCCACACATCAGTCAAGTACAACTTCTTTCCTTTGATCGAGATAACAAACAAAATAATTAATTACCAAAAGTTAATTAACTAATTGGTTAATTTTTTAATGGATTCATGTCTTGACTATTCCAACCAATAATATTGCAAAATTTCATCTTGATCTGAGATTGTGTGTGGGAGAAATAACGTGTACAGACAGACAGAGTGAGTTGATATAAGCTTTGATATAAGCTTTGTAATAAGTTTGTAATTATTCTACTTTCAAAAACATTTTCCATACATGCTTGTTACAAATTTCATCACTGAGAAATAAGTGTAACACTTAAAGTTTTCACGGTCTCGCGTATATTTGTACAAAGTATTGCTAATGTAGCTTCACCAGTCTCTGTCAGTCTGGGTTGGATCTTTTACTCAGTATTTCTCCCATTACACAATCTTAAATCAAGTTCAAACAATTATTCAACTTATTAGAAATTTTAAAAAATTAAACATTTAGTTTATCAATAAGTCGTAATTAATTGATTTTGTTTTATTTAGAAATGTACTAAGGGAACGAGATGAGTCTTGCGTAGAGAATTAGGTCTATCACTAAAAATATTAAACTTAAGACTTTTTTTTTAGACTATTAAACATATTTATATAAGTACTAGTACTCAAATAGCTCAGTGACTAACACATCGAACTTCCACTACTAAACCTCGAGTTCGGATCGTGGGAACTTTAATTGATTAGATTTCATTTAATATAAGCTTTTTTTTTCAAGTTTTTGTTTCTACAATTTTTTTTTAAATCTTCACGGTCTCCTAGATATTATATCTTGCCTCATCAAAATTCAAAGGTCAGCCAATCGTATTATCTACTGCAACTAACATTTATAGCATTAATACTGCATATATTTTCAAGAAACATTTCCTACCCTCCCCCACCCCACCCACATACACAAATACAGACGTGAATCAGTAGCTTTTACATACTGCCCTCACTTTGAATTGACCTGCGTTTTAGAATAGACCTACAATGCAGAATAGACCTACGTTTCAGAATAGACGTTCGTATCAGAATAGAACTTCGTTTCAGAATAGACCTTCGTTTCAGAATAGACCTTCTTTTTAGAATAGACCTACGTTTCAGAATAGACCTGCGTTTCAGAATAGACCTGCGTTTCAGAATAGACCTGCGCTTCAGAAGTTCAAATTTTAGCTAAGTGCTACTTTCCGCTTGTCTCTACTAAGGCCCACTAACGACACATTTCTTTTCAAGCAGGGACAAACGCGATAAATGTAAACAATTTAGGAAATAAACAAACCACTGTTTCGGCTGAATGATTACCGGCTAAGAAGAAATCTATATTAACATAGTGTACATTGATATATTTTAACAAGATTATAAAGACAGGTTGCATTTAGTAGCAGTGTGACGTGCATAGGGTCTAGTGTATTGGAACTCTTGGCATGGCTCTGACGTGGACACATAAACATACGTCATTCTACAGTTCAAAGAAACGCCAGGGGTCAATTAACAACAGAAATATAAATTTAATGAAAGCAATCAGAATAAACTGCCAACAACGCCATCAAACGTTGTACTGTTAAATATACTACAAACTATGGAAACTGCCTTCTACAGTTGGCCTACTTCTACTGTGTGTCTAAAACGTAGGCCTCTAACAACAATAACAATCTCTAAATGGCCGTAACTCTACTTTAACTAATAGACCAATGAAATTATAACAAATAAACCTGAATTCAGTATATCTTAGAAACAAGATTCTATTGCAATACTATATACCAATACAATCATCACATCTAGTCTCTCTATTATAATTATCTAATATTTGTTGACTAACTTCCCTGCCGTGATTGCGCTTCTACTAAATTTGTTTATCATAATGTGTAAGTTAGACTCGCAAGTGCTATCTGTTTGTATCCTTACTACTTCAGAAGAACCCAACTATTTCAGTTTTTGCCTAATAAATACAGTGGCAAACTTAGACTTAGACGTAGGTCCTCCCGCGCCTCCTCCTACCTGGTGTAAACTATTTAACCTAAAATTTTAAAAAAAATTGAAGTTCCTCGAGTATATTAACTAACGAAAACAATAAACAATAAACGAAGTTACTAACCTTTACTAGAAAATCCTTCTCAGCAATTTCGAATTAAACTTATAATTGTGGTTTCACACTTGGATTTTATCTGTTTCAGTGTAAGTAAGACACACGTATATATGTATATCCAGCGCTAGGTCTGCCTGATCAAATGAACTGCTCAGTATGCTTGAACTGGCAGTGTTACGTGCCGAATGTTGTAAGGGGGCGAAAAATTGGATAGGAGAGGGCGTGGAGCCATGCAACTGCAACAACTGAATAGTAGTTCAACGAGAAAATCTTAGAACCGGTATTAAGTATATGAGCTAAAAACAAACAGGTAAAGCGCGTAGAATTTAGACCTACAGGGTGTAGGCTGTAGGTCGTCTAAATCATACTATCATCAGCAATTACTTCAAATCCTTTCTGGCAATAGCCCTGGAAACAAAACCCTCATGTCGTAGGAAATGTAAGTAGGTCAAAGGCATGTAACGTCCCTGAATAAGACTGTTGTATAAAGCCTCTGAGAGAACAATCAAAGGTTTATAGGCAAGGCCACCATGTTTTAAGATTAAAGAATGTTTTAAAACTCATTTACAGACATAGATTCATGTTTATGCGCATTAAGATTATTGGTCACTAACGTCTACTTGGTTGCGAGTTCTCCAGTATTTGAAATTAGTCTACATGTGAAGATTTCTCCAGTATTTTTTTCAACAGAGAGAGAGAGAGAGAGAGAGCAACCAATTCTACTTTGTAACACTGTGAAAAAATCCTAATAGTATTAAAATGATATATCTAGATATATATCTAGATACTGGAAGAGTATTTGAAGTAAGTCTACATGAAAAGAGTTGTACAGTATTTAAAATTAGTCTACATGTGAAGAGTTGTACAGTATTTGAAATAAGTCTATGTGTGAAGAGTAAAATATCATTCATTGATCTCGAGATCTCTTAAACTGTCGTACGTATCTGCATCAAGTTTCGTACACAGGTTCCTTTTAAATCCTATGAGCTCACTAAGAAAGGTTTTTGACAAATTCGCAACCTGACGACCGCAATTCGCGAAAATTCAAGCCTTTGTATTTTATTTCCCGTATTTCCAAAAAGGCCACAGTCTAATAATACTTTGTAACACTGTCAAACAAAAAAAACAACAGAAAAAAACACTAAATCCTTATAGAATTAAAAAGATAAATCTAGATCTATTGTCATTTCGCTACATTCAAAAGGGGAGAGAAAAACGCTTACAGTTATAAAACCAAATTGATTTTTTTTTAATTCAGAGAATAAAATACCAAAATAAATGTAGAAATGGGAACGGGAATTCGGCATTCAATTTGTTTTCTTTTTCATAGAGTCTGCAGTTGCGTAATTGACTGGCCTTAACAACGTTAATTTTTTTTTTATTAGCCCTTCTGCTGTCTTTAGAAAACAACAACAAACGTGAAAAAAAAAAGTTAGAAAGATAGAAATGAAATGGAGAGAGAGAGAGAGAACAGATAGAAAAAGATTTGAAAAAAAAAAGATTAGACAAAGGAAGAAAAAGATTGAAAGAGAGAGAAAGCTAATGGAAGAGAAAGAGTTATGTACAGTTTGGGTACTAGATAAAATTAAGAGATCAAAAAAATATAAAAAAAATATCTTAATGTCGCCTTGACAACTGGGGAGGATGCTGTGATTACAATAAAAACGGTATGCGACGTTTTGGTGCCGTGGCCGTATTAGACACATTATACATGTTCAGTTTAGTTTGCCTTTAAAAGAAAGGATACATTTTTCGGGTCAAGTTGATACTTTAAACAAGTATTATTTGTACCTAACAAAACATGAATCAATTTAAAAAACGCGATTAGCTAATCAATTAATTGGTAATTAATTACTTTGTTTGATATGGAACAAGGGAAATAACTTGTACGTTATTGTTGCATATATTTTTAAGGACGGAGTTTTTCCCTTTAAGCTTTTTTTTTTAAAAGGATTTTTTATATTTTGCTTGTTTTTCTCTTTTGAACTCTCTCCTCCTTCCTTTCTTGTTCCATTTCATTCTCTC